TAAATATACTAGAATAACAAAAAAAAACTAACATTTTTCTTGTAATTAAGTGTAATTTCTTTAGTCATTGTAATATTTTATAAATACTTTAATCTGTCAACCTTATGTCACTTTCAATAAATGTCAAATTGACAATTGTAAAGCTGCTCTCTTTCTTTATAACATTGATATTAATTGTCATATTTTATAAATGTTTTAATCTGTCAACCTTATATCACTTTTTATAAATGTCAAATTGACAATTGTATAGCTGCTCTGTTTCTTTATATCATTGATTTTAATTGTCATATTTTATAAATACTTTAATCTGTCAACCTTATGTCACTTTTAATAAATGTCAAATTGACAATTGTGCAGCTGCTCTGTTTCTTTATATCATTGATTTTAATTGTTCCACCAAGAATCGATTTCAATAAATATCCTGCAATAACAAACAAAATTATGTAATTCAGGTTTTTTCTTGTAATTAAGTACAATTTATATAACCATTGTCATATTTTATAAATACTTTAATCTGTCAACCTTATGTCAATTTTAATAAATGTCAAATTGACAATTGTGAAGCTGCTCTGTTTCTTTATATCATTGATTTTAATTGATCCACCACGAATTGATTTCAAAAAACATGCTACAATAACAAAACTAATTATGTAACTGACGTTTTTCTTGTAATTAAGTACAATTTCTATAATCATTGTCATATTTTATAAATACTTTAATCTGTCAACTATTATGTCACTTTTAATAAATGTCAAATTGACAATTTTGTAGTTGTTACATTTCTTTATATCATTGATTTAAATTCTTCCATCAATAATTGAATTCAATATACGACAATAGCAATCAAAAACTAATTATGTAACTGACGTTTTTCTTGTAATTAAGAACAAAATCTTGAATCATTGTCAAATTTTATAAATACTTCAATCTGTCAACCATTATGTCACTTTTAATAAATGTCAAATTGACAGTTGTGTAGCTGCTCTATTTCTTTATATCACTGATTTAAATTCTTCCATCAAGAATTGATTTCAATAAATATACTAGAATATCAAAAAAAACTAATATATAAACTGACGTTTTTCTTGTAATTAAGTGTAATTTCTTTAAACGTTGTCATATTTTATAAATACTTTAATCTGTCAACCTTATGTCACTTTCAATAAATGTCAAATTGACAGTTGTGTAGCTGCTCTGTTTCTTTATATCATTGATTTTAATTGTCATATTCTATAAATACTTTAATCTGTCAACCATTATGTCACTTTTAATAAATGTCAAATTGACAATTGTGCAGCTGCTCTGTTTCTCTATATCATTGATTTTAATTGTCATATTTTATAAATACTTCAATCTGTCAACCTTATGTCACTTTCAATAAATGTCAAATTAACAATTGTATAATTGCTCTATTTCTTTATATCATTGATTTAAATTTATCCATCAAGAATTGATTTCAAAAAATATACTAGAATATCAAAATCTAATAATTTAACTAACGTTTTTATTGTAATTAAGTGCAATTTCTTTAAACGTTGTCATATTTTATAAATATTTTAATCTGTCAACCTTATGTCACTTTCAATAAATGTCAAATTGACAATCGTGCAGCTGCTCTGTTTCTTTATATCATTGATTTTAATTATCATCTGTCAACTTTATGTCATTTTAATAAATGTCAAATTGACAATTGTTTAGCTGCTCTGTTTCTTTATATCATTGATTATAATTGTCATCTGTCAACCTTATGTAAATTTTAATAAATGTCAAATTGACAATTGTGAAGCTATTCTGTTACTTTATATCATTGATAAATGTCAAATACTTCAATCTGTTAACCTTATGTCACTTTAGATAAAAGTTGAATTGACAATTTTGTGATTATCTTTATTTCATTGATTCAAAATTGTTATTGTAAAGATGAGAATAGTTTTCTTGTTTTGGAACATTGCTATTTGACTAATATGGAAACGTATATATCATTGATCAAATTCGGTAATCCAATAGAATGTGCGTTTCCGAATGATGGTCAAATCATTGTGGAAATTGTACTAAAAAAGGAAATCCAAAGATTTCCTTGGATTTTCCATTTTAAACGTGTATTTCTCAAAGGCAATAAAATTTCATAAGCGCGTAACGGATGCATTAAAATAGAAATTGAATTTCTATTCCTCATTTCATCAATAAATCACTCACTTATTTATTTGCACCAAATAGCCGTTACGATAACTCGAAATACCTTATTAACACTCTCAATCGTGTACTTATCCAGTCCACTTAACCATTCTTTTTGACCGCTCGATTTATCCATTAAATTTCATTAGCTGTAATCCATTAATCAACGTTTCTATACATAACTCTTCAAATAAAATCTAACGTAACACGAGAAGAAAAAAACACGGTATGTGGAGCGAATCCAAGGATATTCATCCGAAATGCAAATCCCGAAAAGAAAGAAACTTTCTCCGTCTGGTTTAAGAATGAGAAAAAAAAAATTATGTATGTATAAATATTACAATAAATAAGCAAAATCGTGACGGAAAGAGTGGGCGAAATCTCCGAAACTCTTTGTCCCAATAAAACGAGACCACCCAACAATACCAGCGCGGCTCTCCTTTACGTAACTCACCGAACAGAATCTGATCGTTCCACTTAACTGGACTGAGTTTGTGTAATTAGATTAGAAATAAAGTGAATTTGACTTAAGAAGACTAAAAAACAACGCGGATGTATAGCAAGTCATGCGTTTATGGAGCTGCTGCTTTCGTATAGCATCATGGAAAATCCAAAGAAAGAAACCGACTTGTAGAGTTATTTTGCTGTAAAATCCAGTTTTCGCAAACCACCACATGTCGTTCGTTAATTTTAATCGTTTCAAATAATGAACCAATTTCGTTTCATTTCATTTTTAGTAAACGAAAGTGTTTTAATTTCTCTTTCTTTCTCTTAATCTTCTTATCGTGTTCTATATTGAGATCATTTCTATTTTACTGTTAGAACTAAACTAGCAGATTTAATCGTCTATTTATATCCAATTCTATTTAGTTGCGAAGCTATTAAACTTGTTCTATAATACTTCAATCCATTCCAATTCTATAGCCAATTCCAACTCACGATTGAAATTTATTGAAATAATTGTTTCCTCTTTACAAGAAACCAGCAGCATTAAGAAACATAAAGTTTTTTTATTCTAATTGTTTTATATTTCTCTAACGCAATTCTCTTAACTGACACAAATCCATTTTCATCAATGGTCAAAGATATTTTTGATCCTCTTGGGAAGACTTTCTTACGTAATTCGCAATTGCATTGCGTTTAATTGGATTAATTACCTCAATGTCAATTATATAGTCTTCGAATTCTTTTAAAAAAAATTGTTTCATTTATTTAAAGTTTATCTTTCTGAAGCCTTGAGACTTCAATTAAAATATAAATAAATACTTGGTTTCTCAATAACTGTAAATAAATAATATCAATTAATTCTTAGTCATAGCTTTATTTCAATAGAAATTTTTTACTGCATTGATTTTTTTAAATGTAAAAGTTTGTTATAGGCAACTTCTTTAGCTTTAAAAATATGTTTAACTTATTCTAATTTTAATAGAAATTTCAATTGAATTAATTCCATAAATAAATTAGAAAGAATCGTTTTTTCTTAGGTAGATTTATCATAAAAATCAATTAATTGTAAAAACTAATTATTCAGAAAACAACGATTTTGATATAGTCGGTATTTCGATATTGTCGGGATTTTGATTGTCGGGATTATGGTAGTCAGGATTTCGATATAGTCGGGATTTCGGACGTCGGGATTTTGAGCCAGCCGGGATTTCGAAGATCGGGATTTCGGTTGTGGGGCTTGCGATTGCCACCACCATAATAATATAATCTATCATGTATTTAGTTAAGAACGAATAATTTTTAAACAAATTAATTATAATTTATAAGGCATTTATTTATAAACTAGATCAGCAGCAGCGCTAAAATTCTTGAACTATGAACTTTACAAATAAAACAATAGGTGGCAAAAATGAAGTATCAGCTAAAATATTCCAATAGGTGCTATCGGTTCATCATCAATCCAAGTTCATAGTTCAAAGGTTCTAGCGCTGTTCAATTTACAATTACTTAATTATAACATTAATTACTAATGTAAATTTATAAACTAACAGGTGATTTGATAATATATATAAAGTAACTGTTATTTGAGTTACATATGTTTCAATGTAAGATTAAAGCGCCATCTATTGAAATTAATATTAATTGCTTACTGCATATTACATAATATTCAAATTATATTTAAATTTGAATTGCAGTCAATGAAATTTATAGATTTTCTTTTAAATAAAAAATTTTACTTTACGAAACCGGTGAAATTTCCGTCATAATACCAAATCCAAGAAGTTAAGAGAAAGAGGAAGAGAAGAAAACACCTTACATTAACAATCATAATAGAGATAAGTCATCATCATGGCAATCTTTGTTTTTCAATTTCATTAAGATCTTATAATAATATAGACCTAATTGAAGACTTATGATGTAAGTGAATTCAGTAATTAACGATTAAGTAATGACACCAAAACGTTTCACGGAATGATACATTGTGTAATATTAATTTGATGAAAAGATTGCGGTTTTTGGAACTCGTTAAATTCACAATTGAATGATTTAATTGCAAAATGCAAATGAAAGAAAAGTCCCTCAATTCCTTAGTATTATGTTACATGTAAAAATCAGACTTATGAATGAAATTTGTGTTTTTTCTAAAAAGGTAAAGTTTATTTGCAATAAAATGCTAATAATTCAAGTGGAATATTTACGTATATAATAGATAAATATACACTGTCATAAGTAATAAAGTAATGGACTTAAGACAAAGATAGAAATAAAAAACAACAAAAAGACGTCTCTGCGCGCTAAATGGAGACCGTGTAAAGAAATTAAATTAACAGGTTCATAAAAGATTTGTTTTTGTCGTAATTAAACGTTACATTAATATTTATGTATATATATAAAACTAATTATCATTATGTATATATTAATTATTTAATTTGTTTGTAAGTAAGTAACTAGCTGTTGTTTTGTGCTCGGTGTCCTCTTCGTCCTTCCAAATCCAAATCCTTTATTTTTTTTGTCCTTTTCTTTATACATACAACGTATTTAAAATATTTATATATTTCGGAGATTTTGTAACTCTATCGCGTTTGTGTAAAATTAAAGAAAAAAGAAAAATAAAAATAAAACACACACAATTACATAATAATACTCTGGGTTATATCACATATCATCGCTGCAGCGGATCCCTAAAATCTACTCTTCTCCACTTCAAAGGCTGCGTTCTCCTTTCCGATGTACTGAGATCCTATGGCCAAGTTACCATTCTTTTCCGTATCCACGGGCTTCTCCTTAGCATCCTTCTTGTGCTGGAAGTACATCCACCTGGAATATATCAGATTATGTTAATTCTTTCTGTTTTAACTTTTATATTTTCTTTTTGAAGATTGATTGAATCTTACATGAAGATGACGACGGCCGGAATGGTGAGAGCTCCTCCGAGCAGGAGGAAAGCTCCAGGCATGGTTTCCATGGTTGCGGCATACGTCGCGCTGTACATTGGACCATAAACCAAGGGCATGAGCGCTTCGCACACTCCGAACAAGGAGTTCACCTTTCCTGAAAAACAAGAACAAAAAGTTGCATAACTTCTGCTCGGACTCATAGAATTAATCTTGTCAGCTAATTGCGAAATAAAGTATGGTTGTCATGGAAACTACTAAATTATCTAACGAAAGAAGCAGTGGTTGTCATGGAAACGACATACATCACGTTGTTTATAATAATAATCTTCATGTGCAATCTCGTTCTTCAATTAAAACTGTTTACTTCAAATTGAGAATTACATTAATTCAGCAATTACCGCAGCATCAGATGTTTTCAGTATTTCAGGATTTAATTTGTAACAAGCGACACGCACTTATTTTTATCTTGAGTTGATTTCAGACGCATCATTTACAAATTCAGCTTATAAAGTTAAAACTGTTTACTTCAAATTGAATAATTCAATGATTACCACAGATGATGTTTTTTCAGGATTTCAGGATTTAAAGTGTCACGCACGTTATGTTATTCTTTTTTTTTTTCCTGTTTCTCTTGAGATGATTTCGAAACCAATTAGTAATTTACAACTGAGAGAATTAGGTAATGCTCTCAGTTTTATGGGACAATTGTTCTACTTAAAAAATTAAATTACGGATAATTTCCTTATTTTACACGGTTTCGTGTTTCCCTTCGTTTAATTCATTTTTTTTTTGCTTTACATAATTCCTTATGCTAATCCCGCAGACATCCAGATCCTAATCGCATCCAATTCCATCTCATAAACAACTGCCGTATGATTAAATTCAGTTTTCTTCCATAGAATAATTGAGTTCTAAATGCAAAAATTGTCTGAATATTTCAAGAATATTTAAAAAAAAATCGTTAATGATGTTCCAAAAATAACTTTTAATATACAAAACTGTCCAATCTGCAATTAATGACTTGTTAAAATCTCCATGATTTATACGTTTTGTCTAAAGTTCGAACATCGACACGTGCATTTAATAAACTTTCACTTGACTCCAACCAAAATATTAAAAAAAAGATCAAAACACAAACACGAGTCAATATTTTCTGTTGCTCGTTTTCTTTTTGCTTTTGGCGAAGAAACGAAAACAAGAATAATAAAAGAGATGCACGTCGAAGGCACCTTGAAATTTCATATTCAAAAAAAAAAACCTCTTCCTCGCTCTTTGTATTATCGGTAAAACCCCAAAATAATAATAATAATAACAAACAAACAGTGATACTTTTTTTTCTCTTATTTTTTATTCAGGTTTTGCTGCTGCGTTGAGTATCCTTGATATATCTGCATACGAGAAGGACCTCGACCTCTTCATCCAAAAATACCACAACGACCTACTACGAATTATTATTATTAATTTGTTTATCTGCAAACTTGATGATATTTCTTCGCATTTAGACCGTGAAAGTAAAATTTCCTTTTCTTTATCACTGCAATTCCCACAGTCAATATAAATGTGTAACACAAGAAGATAAATTACGACAGTTTTATGGCTTTAACAGCAGATGGTTTATGAGATACAATTGAATCAATAAACAACTGTACAAAGTTATAAAAACTGTTAATAATTATAAAAATTCTTCATAAATCAAAAATTGAGATTTAGAATGCTGCAAAGATAATGCACTGTACTAATTACACTTTCTTGGAGATTTCGCTGAGACTTTCCCTCTTCGCTTTGGAAAACATGCAAATATTGCCAAACAACTAACGAAAGCAGAAGAAGTCCGTGTGTTATAGATAGAAGAGCCGGCGGAATTAATTAGAAATTGGATTCCCTTTTTAGTTCCACTTACCTAATTCCTCGGAAGGCACCAATTTAGAGGCGATGGATCTCATAGCTATGAACGAGGTTCCATTGAAGATTTCCACAAGAGCACCTAAAAAACAACAACAAAATTAATTAATTAACCGTTAACCGAAATTAGCATTCAGTAAATTAAATATCAAATTACATGGAATATTCCATTAACGGTTCTTGAAAGCAACATTTTTCTCTCGCGTTTTCGACACAGTTTAATTATTAATTTAAATATGTAGGGTAATTAATGGGTTTGTGTTTATTTATTTAGTAAACTTGACCCCGATTTGTTGTCGAATTTTACGTAACAAACGTCGAATTCGATTTCGCGAATTCGAATTTCGCATGTGAATCGCGTGTAACGAGAATAGAGCGAAACCGTTCGGGTTTTCCTTTATCTGTGCTTACGAAATACTTTCACCTTTTAGTCTACTTCATTTTGGCGACATTAATCTGCATACAATAACATTTTTTTAAGTTCAGTTTCTTAGAAAATTAAAAAAAAAACTTGCTCACACGTATTTGTTAATAGTTTATGAGATAATATTCTTGGATATTTCACAAACTGAAGATGATTTTGAACCAAAGATTAAATAAATTTCACCTAAGTGTTAAATAAATACGATTAAGTACACTGACTTTAATCTAGACTCTTCTATAAAACCCACTAGGACACCACATTGACAATACAACAAATTATTCCACAGTGTCCCGGGATGGGACAACAATATGTCTTTAACAATTTCTCTTGAATTAACTACACATAATGTGTAGTCCTCATTTGAGTCCTAGGAAGAACCTAATCCTAGTAGCAGTTCTAGTTTGATACCACTCTTGACCAGCAACCTATGCTTGTAGGAACTGGAAGCTAGATTAAGAATCTTCATCACCTAAGTGTTAAATAAATACAATTAAGTACACTGACTTTAATCTAGACTCTTCTATAAAACCCACTAGGACTCCACATTGACAATACAAAAAATTATTCCACAGTGTCCCGGGATTGGACACCAATATTTAAATTATTTAAATTTAAATAGTTGTAATTTTAACAAAGATAATTTTTCAGAAATTTCAATGCTTGATGATTTTAAAGTGAAGATTAAAGTAATTAAAATTAATTATAATTTATTTTTCAATTACTAATACTACTTAATTTAATATTTAGTATTCAAAGCATTTCTTTAAAAAAAATCTAATTAAAATATCTAATTTTAAAATGTTACTAGGAAACAAATGATTAATTGATGTAAATTTAATAACGTGTTGTTTTTTTTTCTTCTATATAAATTTAATTTTGGCGCATGCAAATCGAATCAATTCGATAATTTGTCCTTGCATTTGTTACTTGTTTCATTTTTATTTACTATTTGCAATTGTTTTGCATGCCTCGTTGTTCCATTCATTGTCAAACAACATTCAATGCCATGCCAACGGGGTGCGCATTCGTTGCATAACGACGGGGGGAAACAACAAAAAGCACCAATCCTATTCGGATTATTCTTTTATCCATTTGGTTTATTTGTTTAATGGATTTTTATTTGCAAATCCAATTTCATCTATTTGCATAACCAACGTTCACGCTCCACATTATTATCCATTAGACATGGGTTTTTGTTGTACAACCTTGGATGCATTCGCATCCATTGTCGATCTGAAGAAAATTTCGCAAATGTATCGGATTACAGTTGTTGATACCATTACGTTATCAATACACGGGGAATTACGTAACAGCAATCTGCGAACAAACAGGTGAAATTGGATATCGGCCAGGCGTGACGGGAATGGAGTGCGGACATCCAACAAATTATCCATTATCACTTTTGCATCGTTGAAAATATCCGGCGGCGAACCCAGATTTTCCACAATCGCGCATTCAAATTAACTTCAATACAAAAATTACTCAATTCAATAGTAAATGTTGTTTTTTATCCATTGCTTTTAATATTTTATTCGTTTCTCTCATAATAAATGAGCTTCAATTTGTATACACCCAGCTTACTTGTCAAGTAACATGTATTGTTCATAGTCCCATTAAATATCATATAATGTATTTCAAGTACTTGTGCGTTAAAAAGTACTAGTATAATGCACATATTATGAGGCATCAGTTGTAAATGTCATGATGACATACACCCAGGTTATTTGTCAAGTAATATGTATTGTTCATAGTACCATTAACTACCATATAATGTATTTCAAGTACTTGTGAGTGAAAAAGTACGTGTATAATGTACATATTACGAGGCAAGTATATTTACATCAGTTGTAAATGTCATGATGACATACACCCAGGTTACTTGTCAAGTAACATGTATTGTTCATAGTACCATTAACTATCATAGTATGTATTTCAAGTATTTGTGCGTGAATAAGTACTTGTATAATGTACATATTACGAGGCAAGTAAATTTACATCAGTTGTAAATGTCATGATGACATACACCCAGGTTACTTGTCAAGTAACATGTATTGTCCATAATCACATTAACTATCATAGTATGTATTTCAAGTACTTGTGCGTGAAAAGTACTTGTATAATGTACATATTACGAGGCAAGTATATTTACATCAGTTGTAAATGTCATGATGACATACACCCAGGTTACTTGTCAAGTAACATGTTTTGTCCATAATCACATTAACTATCATAGTATGTATTTCAAGTACTTGTACGTGAAAAAGTACTTGTATTATGTACATTTACATTTACATCAGTTGTAGATGTCATGATGACATACACCCAGGTTACTTGTCAAGTAACATGTATTATTCATAGTACCATTAACTACCATATAATGTATTTCAAGTACTTGTGCGTGAAAAAGTACTTCTATAATGTACATATTACGAGGCAAGTATATTTACATCAGTTGTAAATGTCATGATGACATTTCCTTATTATTTATAAAACCTGAAATCAAGTAATCAAATTAATAACTTAAATATAGTTATTAGATAATTTTATATGTGATATTGTGAGGTTTTATTCTTGAGATAGAGAAAGGATTAGAATTATGTTGTTGTAAATCGTGTGTAAACGCACGGTAGAAACTGTTTGATCTGGGACATTCGAAAGAGAAAGAAAAACTGGTGTTGCGATATCGAAACGCCGGTGCATTTTATACTTATAATATTGGCCAAGGCAGTAGAAACGACGCGGATGATCCCATCCGAAGATGAAACGTGTCGCAATTATCTTCAGAGAGCGCGCACGCCGTTAGCAACGTAATGGAAATTAAATATCAATTGATTGCAATTGATTACAAGGAAATCCTCAGGAAATATTGTGTTTATCGATAATTTACATATGAATCGATGATTGGTAGATTTCCTTTCATTAAGCATTACCAGATTATAATAATTTTATAGGAAAAACCACAGTTGTGTCTTACATTTGCATATGTTATGATTTAATTATCTCGAGTGGTTTTCGAGTAATTTTATTAAATGTGAAGATGCTACATATTAAGTTTAACAACTTATTATAAAAAATTAGTAAGTATTGTAAATTGGATAGTAGACTCATTCGAAAGACGATATTTTTGTGTTTAATTTGAATATTTGATAATTTAATTATCTTGAGTGGTTTTCGAGTAATTTAATTAAATGTGAAGATGCTACTTATTAAGTTTAACAACTTATTACAAAAAATTAGTAAGTATTATAAATTGGAGAATAGACTCATTCGAAAAACGATATTTTTGTCTTTAATTTGAATATTTGATGATTGATTTAACTTGAGTGGTTTTCGAGTAATTTAAATAAATGTGAAGATGCTACATATTAAATTTAACAACTTATTACAGAAAACGAGTAAGTTTTATAAATTGGATAATATACTCATTCAAAGGACGATATTTCTGTCTTTAATTTGAATAGTTGATGATTGAATTAGCTTCAATGGTTTTCGAGTAATTTAATAAAATGTGAAGATGCTACATATTAAGTTTAACAACTTATTAAAAAAATGAGTAAATATTATAAATTGAAGAATAGACTCATTCGAAAGACGATATTTTTGTCTTTAATTTGAATATTTGATGATTGAATTAGCTTCAGTGGTTTTCGAGTAATTTAATTAAATATGAAAATACTACATATTAAGTTTAACAACTTATTACAGTTATCGATTAATTAATTAAAATGTGAAGACAATTAATTTTCAAACTCTCAATTGATTTGTCAACTTTGGCAGTTTACAACAAGATTACGACTAATATCTCAAATATCACGATAGGATCAATGGAAAGGATATAGTTTTTGTTTATTTGTATATGATATTAATTAGACGTACGTGGTTTTGAAGTAATTAGATATAACGTGAAACATAAAAAAATGAAAAATCGCGATATCTCAGTTATTAATTAACATAATTTAACAGTAGTTCAATGAAAAGTTGCGCAATTGAAGACTGCTTTAGAAGTAATCATATAATATATTAATAGTTTTCAAGAAAATTTAAAAATAATAAAATTCTAACGTGTTTCTTTGATGATTAATATCATC